CATCCAGGTATATAACAACAAAAAAGGTTGAATCATGTCATCTGGACAACGAAGTCCAGATGACATGATTCAACCTTTTTTGTTGTTATATACCTGGATGACTGAGAAAACAAACTTTGTGTTTTTGAAACCATTAGTGAAAAGGCCAGACTTCAGGGGTATCTGAGGCAGGCTTGAAACACAAGAGTCAGGGTGGCTTCTGGGTAATACCAGATGGCTAGGCCTCAGACTGACGAAGCCTCTTGGATGAGGGGCGAAACGTTTCTTTTTAACAAAAAAACGAAGTCCAGATGACATGATTCAACCTTTTTTGTTGTTAATACTGACATTGTTCGCCAAAAGTAGAGGCAGTGTAAATAAAAGTTTCAAGCAAAAGAATTAGGGTGTAAAAAATACCCAATACACCTGTAGTACTCACTAGGACTTTTCAGTTTTGATTTGGACATTTTTAGGTAGCTGAATGTCACTCTTGAATGAGCTCTGACTACAGCTGTCATTTCTAACTCGAACCCGGAGCCCAGCCCGGTCCGATTCGGATTAGGGCCGGGCCATAATAATGTGCGGGCCTGGCCAATGTTGAACTTTTGATTGCATCAGAGGATGCGTGCGGCTGACGAGCCAGTTATATGGCAACATGACTTACCATACATTCACCAGCTGCAGACAGGCCTTGATAGAGGTAAAAAAAAAAAGTTCAGTTAAGCTTCAGATGGGACTATACTGCCAGGCAGCGATCCATCAGCCCAAATGGACGTTCAGCCGCTGCACTCAACGGATGTGTGCAGCCGATGACCCAAACAGGTGAGATCCCAAAATATCCAACATGTCAGAGCAGGGTCCATGTTTGAATAATGCAGAAGCAGGGATTTAATGCGCTTTGACGGCCATGAAAGGACAAACACCACCTCAGCTCCCAACTTCTGCCCTTTTTACTCAGCCGTGCGCGTCCGCTGACTGTTAACTATATAAGCAGTCAAAGCTGAATTTAAAATGTCGGGGTGGGTTTCGGGTTCAGACCTGTAATTACTGTTAATTCATCGGGTCGGATGGGGTTCAGAAATGATGTCTACAGGCTGGGGTCGGGTCGGGTCCGATTTTTTGGGCCCAAATGCAACTCTAGCTCTGACTATCTGCTAGCTTTCTTACCCCACAAGTGCAATCTGCTGCAAGTAAGATACTGACTGCTCATAACGTCTTTACACCACCCCACCTATAAAAACAATACCGTTTGTCCTTTCAACACCGAGTACATAAAAAGTATTCACAAGATGCTCTCTAACTTTTTCAACAGACATAATTCATTCCGGCGCCACCTGCCTCGTCAGATGAATGTCACCAGTGTGGACTTCAGCATGGACGCGGTGCCTCTCCGCCAGTCCTCTACAGTGAGCTTCGGAAGAATTAAACCTGAACTGTACAAGCAGAAGTCTGTGGACTCGGAGGATGAGGCCAAAGGGCATGTAGAAACCTGTGGGAAGCTCAGCTTCTCCCTCCGTTACGACTACGAGGAGCAGGCCTTGGTTGTGAGAATCCTCAAGGCTTTAGATCTGCCCGCCAAGGACTTCACGGGCACCTCGGACCCGTATGTGAAGATGTACTTGCTGCCCGACAGGAAGAAGAAGTACCAGACGAGAGTGCACCGCAAGAACCTGAACCCCACGTTTGATGAGACCTTCTGTTTCCCCGTGGCATACGATGAGCTTTGCAATCGGAAGCTGCACTTTAGCGTCTACGACTTTGACCGATTCACGAGTCATGACATGATCGGCGAGGTCGTGGTGGACAACCTCTTTGAACTCTCTGATCTTTCAAGGGAGGCAGTAGTGTGGAAAGATATTCACGCAGCAACTACGGTGAGTCCCTTTTTAAGATAGTGCAAATCACATGTTGCCGTTAGCGAGGGAAAACACTGAAACCGTTTTTGGCAAGGTCTGATCAGAAAAGATTGCACCATTTGACTTTTCAGGCTGCTTCACATGAGTAGCAGGTGGAGTGCGTTGCATAATTCAAATGCTTTGGGAAGTGCGTTTAATCAGCCAAACACCCACACACATTTTCCAGAAACTGCAGGGTATTCTTGCACTCATAAAAATAACCACAGAAGGTAAAAATATCCAACAGTAGAGGCAGTAAATACAATCTCAAGTGAAATTCCAAACAAACCGTGCAGCAATAAAGGACTACTAATAATATATCTTCATAAGAGCTCACTTCAATGAGAACAATTGTAAAATGGCTCCAAATGCTTTTACTTTGACACTCGCATTCATCACACCTAGCTCTGCTTTAATAATAAATGCACTTATTGTGATAAACTGCATACTGAAGTAGTTGCAGATTTAGTTTTGCACAGACTAAAAGGAAGTTTGGTAAAAAATAAAAATAAGTTTCTCCGTAATTATCTGAGCAACAGATAGCAGCGGCAGGCTGTGAAGGCTTTCTGCAGTTTGCGATTAATTTTTTACTTTTTTTTTTGCTGTCTCCTCTAAACTTGAGGATTAAAACTGAGACAATCAAGCAGTTACCCTGTTTTTATCCTTAACGCACCTGATGCATTTCAAGCTGTTTGAAGTAGGATGTCGGGATCTGTTGGGTAGATGTTGAACCCAAGTGCAGGCAGTCCACGGAGACTCGGAGAGTTACAATAAGAAATGTGTTTTTTAACAAAAACAAAAGGCTGACGAGGCAGCAAACTTGCAGTCAGACAGAAGACAGAACATGTAGATTGACAGGGAAGTGCCCAGACAATGAGGAACACCGAGACACACATATGCTAACAAGGGGATAAACACAAACACCTGGGGAAGGACAACATGTGGCAGAGGCAGGAGCTAATATGAGGAAGAAACACCGAGGAATGAGAATGAACACAAGACGGAGACGCTCACTAGAAAACAGATCTTCACACAGGATTAATTATGTCATCACAGAGAGTGGCAGAGGTTTTAACACAACTCTTACACTTAGGAACATATAGAGCAGCTCATTCGTAAAATGTTATTTGGCAATGTAATTATAGAAAATACAATAAGATACAAAATGGCAACAAAGTAGAGTCTTTGATAAAACCTTAGCCTAATATCAATACAAATAAAATAACTGCTTTAAAGCGTAGGTTTTATTTTCATATTCCTCAACTTCAGAATCTAAATGTCGCTGCCATTTACTACACTCTAATGTTGCACTAAATATGTTTGCATAAAAAAAGCAGGTGCGTTTGGTAACTTGTTTTTACTGCCTACATGCACTGAAATGTGAAATTGTATAACCATTTCAGAGAGCCAACAACCTGCAGAATAATAAAGAAAGAAACAGACATTTAAATGCTCATGACTGAGATTGGGGAATCAACTAAAAAAGCAAATACGCACAAGTTTTTGTGTAATAAAATGTTTATTATACAGTTAACTGGCAACTACTCTTGCTTTTTAAGGCCCCATGACTGGGTGAAAAACAGCAGAGATGTAGAAGCCGTTTATAAGCTACCATATTTTTGCCATATCTTTTTGCATAAATTTTATATACACCGAAGGGACTAACATATATTTCCCCCATATTTATAACATAATTTGAGGCAGAGATCTGACAATTTCATTCATTCAGACATGAAAAATATTGAACATTACCATTTGCAGCCACTAGAGGGTCCTCAAGTAATATGGCAAGCCAAGTGTCTCATTAATAGGTAAATGTGGCTGTTAATGAACCACTTGGCTTGCCATAGCGCCACCTTCGTCTCGCAAATCAGCTGCATTTCACCGCTCCGCCCAGGAGAAATGCAGCTGATTTGACCATTAAAGTGCATTTATTAAGGAAAAGTTCAACTGAGACACATCTTTGCTATAATTTCGAACAAACAAATAGTTTTTTAAAGTGTTAATCTTGTTAAATTCTTGTTAAAGTCCTGTGCACACTCCCGCGGCCACCATTTTTGCAGTCAATGGATTTTTTTTTTTTTTTTAGTAGAACACCGGCCCACGTTTCCAGGTGGTCAGCGGTGACACACTACAAATGCGGCACATCAGCGGTGACGCATAATAGATGCAACTTAAATGGCAAAGCAACTTATTTATGTTTTTTTTTCCACTTTATTAGACAGTTTTGAACTGATGCGACTTGTACGGCAGAAAATACGGTAGCTAAAAGCAGACATTACTCATAAAACTGAGAAAATCAAACACAATCATGATTGCCTGAAAACAAAGTATAATGAATGAAAAAAATGCATGTGTACTAGAAGACTTTTGTAACTTTTATTTGTGACAAATATTCCTCAAGGTTTTACAAAACTGCTCAAAGCCTGAAAATCTTTTAAAATTAATTCTGATCTAATCGGAAATGAAATAAAACGGTACTAATGCAGTTATGCCCACAGCAGTTCCCTCATCAGGATCACAATACTTTTCAAAATAATGGTTGAAATAAACATTTATAAATAATATTTCAGAAGAAATCTTTTTGTCGCTAAAAGAAAACGTCAAGAGCTTATGGTGGCGAGATATTTCTGCTGGAATCAAAACCGTTCAAAGAATCACTCATTCTATTGGCTGCAAACCTGCATTATTCATTCAAACTTTAAAGTACTTACAAGAATTCTTGAAAAAGTTTTGTAAAGTGCATTGAAAGGCTAAAAGGTTAGTGTTTGGCTTTGACATTTGGATTCACAGAATGTGAGCAAAGCACTTAAAAACAGGCTAAACTCTGCTGCGTCTCTTTCGTCCCCCAGGAGAGTATCGACTTGGGAGAGATCATGTACTCGTTGTGCTACCTGCCCACAGCGGGGAGAATGACCCTAACGGTCATCAAATGCAGAAACCTCAAAGCCATGGACATCACAGGCTCCTCAGGTAAACGAGATGAAAGCAAGGCGAGCCATAACTTTGACGCAGCAGGAGCCCTCTTAGAACAGAAATGTGAACGAAGAACAGCACGAGTGATGCTTTAGTGACTTTAAAAACACTGAATTTGTCTTTGACAGACCCGTACGTGAAGGTTTACCTGGTCTGTAATGGACGGAGGCTGAAGAAGAGAAAAACAACAATCAAGAAAAGCACACTTAATCCTGTATACAACGAGGCCATCATCTTCGACATCCCTCCAGAAAACGTGGAACAAGTCAGTCTGTCCATCATGGTGATGGATTATGATCGGTAAGTGCCTCTTCATATACTGCGTTGCTTTAAAGGTTTAAAAGGGAATCAAAAGTTTCAGGTTAATTATTCAAATAATCCAATTTTACATGTCTGTGTGTGGCTAAAATGAGCAAACCTTCAAGATGAGAAGCTAATCTGAAGGTCAGCGTAGAGCCAAGTGATTTATTTATTTATTTATTTTTTTTTGATCAATGAGTAGTCAGGAGAGAGTTTTATTTAAGAACAGCGATCTATCAAACTCTGTCTCCAGAAGAGAATCATGGCTTGGCGCTTTGCTCATCACGCATGAAAAGGTTACACAACAATCTGTAGTATTGATTAATCAATCAAGAGCAAATTGTGCATCAGGACACCAGAAGCTCACAAAGGAGTTCTATCTTATTAGCTATTAGTTATTTTTATCTGATTGTTAGTTAATAACTAACAATGTTCATGAGTTTGTTTTCATGAGAAAAAAATATCCCCAAAAGAACATTGTTGTCTATATAAAAACCACATAATCAAACACAAAAGGGAAACTTCTTAGTCCATATTAAATAGTTTGAGTTAAAACTATAAAACAGGTAATGGTAGTATAATGCAGTGTTTCCCCTACCATTATACAAGCGGGGCGCACCGCCCCGTCAACAGAACCGAGCGCCCCATCTACCGAACCCCACCCCCAACCACCTGTCAGCACTGACGTAACGCTAAACTAGCGGCTTGCAATGCAGGTGTGCTAGCTAAAAAGCTAAATGCAGCCTCTTCCCTCATGTTGAACGCACCCCCGCCACTCGAAAACTGTCAGTACAAACAGCGCACGGCTGAGATGTGTCTCTGTCTCTCTCCTCTCACACACCCTGCTCTAAAACTGTACAACTGTGGGTGCAAACAGCGCACTGCGCAGCTTAGGATGCGTCTCTGTCCGTCCCTCCCCCCACGGACAAAAATCACGGATGAGATGAGCGCCCCACCATGGCAAGTTATCTAGGGGAAACACTGTAATGGTTTAGTCTGTCAACAGTTATACTTTCCTGTAAAAGGGAACTCAATAAAAAAAAAAAGATACACCTCAGCTGTGATGAACTCACCGGCCTACGATCAAGTTCAGAGTGAAACTAATTTCTAGAAGTACGATGATAAAAGTTTGGTAAATGAACTGTATCCAAACCTGGTGTTCTTGATTAAGGTGGCTGCTAGATATTGGAAATAAAATGTATCTGGTATATTTGACCAATAAACAAAAGATAAATTAACTAATTACCTTTTAGTCGATTTGCTTTTCTGTTCCTAGAAACTATCTTCACAAGAAAGTTACATATTTAAGTTTTGTGATCATTTTGGTGGGGGGTGGGTACGTCTAGCAGAGGCATCACTTTGTGGAAACCGTTTTAACACGAGTGTCTCGCTGGTAACAGGGTTGGACACAATGAGGTGATCGGCGTGTGTCGAGCCGGTCCAGACGCTGTGGGTCTTGGACGAGATCACTGGAACGAAATGTTGGCTTATCCTCGAAAACCCATCACACACTGGCACGCTCTGGGAGAGGTACATAAACGTTCTCCTTAATTCCACTTTTTCCCCCTTTCTTTGCTGAAAGAGCTTAGATTTCAAGGGCTTAAAGGTGATATGACATTAACAAGAATACATGCAGGGCTTCTTCTTCTGTGCTTTGATTTGTTGTTAATGTGACACCTAGTGGTGCAAAACAGGTATTACACTTTTTTGTTAAAAGTGTGTGAACCATCGACATACATAATGAAAATACATATAACGAGAGGAAAAACGTTCCTTAATTAGCAAACAGTCATGCATGTGACCCCATCTGACAGCTGCAGCCCTCAAATGCAGACTTTACCTCCTTAAATCTTCATAATTTGTGTCAGAATTATAAATTTCAGTAAAGCAGGATTCCTGTGTGCTGTTTTATTCTACCATACAACAAAAAACAAGTCATGTTGCAGGACTCAGAAAAATAAAATAGTTTTCTATGAGTGTGATGCAGATTAGGTGTCTAATCTTTTCCAATTTTTTTGGTTGTTTTACATTAGATCTATCGTTTTTAAATAAACAGAGATATTGACACTTGGTTAAAGGTAGTTTATGTCAAGAGATTGTAGCAGATATGGACAACTTTTGTTAAATAAAATCTAATGTGCACAGTAAAATTATTTGGGTTTCTAGCTGGCACTCCTTTCAATGTTCAATGTACAATGTTCTTTATTGTCATTCGCATCACATGTGGTACATGAGGTGGAACAAAACTGTGTACTCAAAATCTCAGTTACAGTAGTCCCTCGCTACTTCGCGGTTCATTTTTCGCGGACTCGCTCTATCGCAGTTGTTCAAAATAAAGACTGTACATGACACTCAATTGGCTGATTCATGGATGAGCCGCACGATCCGCATGGAATTTTTTTTTTTTTAAATAAATTTTAAATTATTTAGCACCTGCTGCACAGCTGCAAGATAAACTTTTTTCTGCTGTGTGTCATATCTCCACTCTGCAGCGGAGAAATGGGCGTGGCCAAGAGCACTGGCATGTGGCAAAGAGCTGAAATCATGTTGTGCTCTTTTAGAACGTTTAGAGTTTAAAAACATTGTTTAGAATATTGCAAGAGTGTGGGAAGTGTTTAAAACGCCTTTATATA